AAATTTTTCCACCTATTCACAATTTTTATTGGATCTGCAAACAAATTGCCACTATCATCCTTTACCATATTGGTCTAGGGTTGATATCCTTTCTTAAAGTTATTAATGCCTCTGTACTGGTATCTGATATTTTTTTCATTATTATTTGTCTCAAGTTCAACAATTTTGCCCTTCAGGTATTCCCTTCTCTTATTCCTAAAGGTTCTACTAGCCTCACGTCTCACGTTACATAGATTATCCGCATTTGTTTTGTTTGGGTCCTGCAATCATTGAAATTTTGTTTGCTTCCTTTGATTCATTACTTTTGAACGTTCTTCATCAAACCACGGTTTATTTTGCTTTCTCCTGTAATACTAGTTTCTCTTTGACTGAAATTTTGATGCAGTTTCTGACATTTTCCCACTCCCTGTTGATGTCCACACTTTCATTATCTTCATCCTTCTCTAAAATTTGAAACCTATTTGAAATTTCAACTTGATATTGTTCCTTTGCCTCTCCCTCACTTAATTTTTTGAAATAAAAAATTTTCTGTGTCAAAATTTTGTTTAGTTCGTCTACTTACTGAAAGCCGCTCCCTCACTTTTGCTACCAACAGATAAGATCAGTGTCACAATCTGCTCCTCTGAATGACCTCACATCAATTACATTTGTGTGCCTTCTATTATCTACTAAAACATGATCTATTTGATTGTGTGTGCTACCATGGCAGGAACCTTTTCTTCCTGGAGAAGATTTACCACGAAAAAGAACTGCTAATTCACAAAGGACGTGATTTGTTAACATTAAAATACATTGTACCTTCTCTTTACAACCCGTTTCACCAGAATTGTGGCTATTTATTTTTTTACGGAAGCATGAGACGGTCTAAAGGCTTCTTCAATTTCGACAAGGAAAGATCTCCAACCGTTCAGATTTTCGATTTTTTTAATCTGGATTTCTTTACTTCACATAACGAAACTGATACGCCTAATGGCGTAGTTAATGTTCCAGAATCCTCTAACATGGACCTGAATATTGACATAGAATTTCACTCACCGTTAAGACTGGCACCAATAAGATTTTCTGATAACTCTCTAACATACGACCGGAAGTCCAATGTATACCCGAACGGTTATCGAAAGATCCGCTTCAGGTGAATCATGGAACTAAATTCCTTTTGGAAATTTCTATAAATTGCTCTGCATCTCTTGCAAACGGCCTAACTTCTATGTTTCAACATATTATAAGCTCTAGAAAATTGATTAATACAGAAGATTGCTGTCTCTCCGGGTTGTTGCGCCGTGTAGTCTGGTAGATTTCCACCAACGTTTCAGAGGTCCTTGCTGCCTCCGTCATCAGGGCGATGAATGTGCCAACTGGAATAGCCTAATCCTAGCCAATGAGAGCAAATCAGGCGTCGTTGGAGAACAATAGGAGAGCGTGGGCGTTTCTAGCTGTGTAGATTTATCGCCCTGATGATGGAGGCAGCAAGGACCTCTGAAACATCGGTGGAAATCTACCAGACTACAAGGCGTAACAACCCAGAAGACAGCAATCTTCAGACTCACTGCTGTGAAAACCTCAAATCTCACAATGATCAATACAGTTTCTTTGCTTAAGCGTATCTCATTACTGATTTCTTTCTTTAGCCCAATATGATACAAATTTCTGTATGTAACTAGAATTTAAGCAAAGAGCAAACAAACACAAAACATTTATACAAAGATTTACATTGCATTTCCTTGTGTCAGTTTGAATGTATTCCACCAACAGGCTTAAATTCCCATTGTACGTGCATGCAGTAGCGAAGCGTGGCCTTTTGATAAGTGTCAGCCATATTGTAGTGTTTATACTTATTTTTGTACAGATTATACTTGTATTAGATGCACGTGAATAGTATTCAGTTCTTATGGAGCACCCGGTGCTTTGTTTCCATGCGAAATAAAGTTAGTTTCCTGGCTCACCTACCCAATGGCCGCTCGTGGGTCTGAGGAGTGGCAGTTCTGTGCAAGGGGGAAACGCAGAATAGGTTTTCAATACATGACAATATAAATAAATGAAAAGTAAATTTACATCGACGATGTTTTAGCTATTTCTAAGTCCCGAAGAGAACGGCCATGATTTTTTGCATCACTTTTTTCACTCAAAGAATTTGGAAAAAGTAATGTCATGTATAAATGATACACTTCCTTTGCTCATTGTCATTATCAGAAGAAAAAATAGTCAGCACACACAATTACTGAACACACTTTAACAATAACCACGAAACAGATTGTGATACAGAAAACAGTCTAAAATGTGTGGTAACGGGCCAGCATGTTTACTATGATCCGGCTGTGGCAACTGCAGCCCCAAAACGCGCTGTACCAGTGAACTGCCCCTCACTCCACCTCACACAGCGCTCTTGACCGGCCAGCCGCACTGAAATCCTTGCAGCAGATGATAGCCCCGTTCTGCTTCGCACTCCTCGCTCGCAGACTTACTGCCAGTTCAGCCAATTGGTTGATAATGACAACGTAATGGGCAATATTAGAATAATTATATAGAGGAAATAAAGTGTTTTCAAATACATTTATTTTATTTTTTATTGCATTTATTCGCCGAGAAACTTCACGTCATACGTCATGAGATGCTCATCATTGTATTACACAAGAGTGTGACTGCCCTTTGCCTGAAATGCACAATTACTGTTCCTATCCTGAACAATATTCCTGTACTAAAAAATGTGCACGAGTTGGTATTCATTTGCATTCTGACAGAAGAAAAAGTCTTATACCTGATGGGACTATAGTAACTTTAATCTGGGTATGCAATGATACTTTTGCAGACTCTTCTGATAATAGGAAGACTTACATATATCACAAGAATATGCGCACCCCACACATGTATTGACTCATCGGATTATTCTATTAATGAGAAGAGTTAATGACACTGAAGAACAGATCAGTCATTAAAGAGAGTTCATTTATGATATACATCACATTAATGTGGCTGCCGTCTACCATGTGTAAGTTGATGTGTCTTCAAAGCACAATTCTGAACGAATTACTTTTTACACAAATCACAGATTTATGGACGCTCCCCACTATGTATAAGGATATGTATCTTAAGATGACACCTCTGACTGAATGACCTATTACACAAATCACAGGTATATGGCTTATCTCCACTGTGCATACGTTGATGTGTCTTCATATGACTCTGTTGACTGAATGATTTGTTACATACATCACAGGTATATGGCCTATCTCCACTGTGTATACGCTGATGATTCTTCAGAGTACTCTGATGACTGAATGATTTGTTACATGCATCACAGGAATATGGACGCTCCCCACTATGTAAACGGAGATGTATCTTCAAACTATCTCTACAGCTGAATGACTTATTACACACATTACAGGAATATGGCCTTTCTCCACTGTGCATATGCTGATGATTCTTCAGACTACTCTGAGGACTGAATAACTTGTTACATACATCACAGGAAAATGGGCGATCCCCACTATGTATACGGTGATGTCTCTTCAAATCACTTCTACGGCTGAATGACTTATTACACACATTACAGGAATATGAATGGTCCCCACTGTGAACGCATTGATGTTTCTTCAGTGTAGTTCGAGAAGTGAATGATTTATGACACATTTCACAGGTATATGGAAGCTCACCAACTTGTAATAAGTTCTGTTCTTTTGCAGGAAACTAGCAAACAAATTGAAAACAATATTAGGACAAATCTTATTAGGAAGAAGAATGAGACTGAAACAAAGATATAAGTAAGCACAATAAATATTGCGTTACAAATTTATGTTCTTTCCAGAACAGATGTATTCTCTCAGGGGGATAGAATTATATTTCCTATTTCTTTTAGTTAATGTCTACCTCAGACAAATAGGTTGATTCACCTGAAAAGACTGCAATTTTATACATAGCAAACAAACTCTCGACTGACAGCATGCAGAAATGCATATTCAAACCACATATTCACATTCCATAACATGATGTCCAAGTTCAAGTTTGCTTCACCCAACCAGATATGTTGTTAGAAAAACCTATTCACATTGCTTAGTCTGCTGGGGAGTGGAAAGAGAGGGGTTAACCAATCTATTTGATGGTATCTAGAGCATCGAAAGGCAAGGATACACAGATGCCATTATAATGGTGACATACAATTTTATGATAACATTCTTTGAAGCAATATAGTTAACTATTAACTGGGTTCAATTTACAGTACAGATAAGAGTGAAAGGAAAAGTTAAAAGAATTAAACCTGAAGCTCACTCATATCCAAGTAAATTAATTATGATTTTATTTGGATATGAGTGAACTTGCATCATATGGTTATTAACCTGTTGCAACCCATGCATCTCTTTATCCCGAGAACAGAATTTCATAAACACCGAAAAAGTCGGCTTGGGGAGAAGGAGAAGAAGGAGAAAAAAGATGACGTGTGCCAAATGCAACCATTCTGTCACATTAACAGCAATTTGACCTTTGTGAATGATGCCAGTAACATCAGAGGTGTTTGGGGGAAGTGACCTTAGCTTAAGTAGGGTGCCTGGCCTTTGTTTGGATGGCTGATGATGTCAATATGAAGAATGACAACTTACATTTGCTCAATGAGGTTGTGTAGCTAGCTGGTAATTCTTTACCACTACCACAAAGTCACTTTCACAAGCAAAAGCAAATGTAGGCATTAATGAAATGTACCAAATGTTGCCAATATGACACTGAACAAAACCGAAGTGTCTCCTCAAATAGAAGAAATCCCTAACATAAAACATCTTGAAAATCCAATTAGCTGTTTGTCCTCAAGTTCTTACATATGGACATATTAATAGGTATAGCGAAGCTAATAGGTACATTTCTGTAGCCTTTAGTTTCAAATCTGATTAAAATTAAATCAGGGAAAAGTCTATATTATGCGGGTCCCTAGTAACTACATCATAGAATGTCTTCTGGCTGTGGATTAAAGAGAAGACCTTGTGATGTGGGGGTAACTATTTCATTCTAAATACAACATTCTCCATCAAGGTTAATTTATAACATACATGGAATTATTTGGGATCATCACTGAAGATTCTTATGTAATCTGTCAACACTGAACACACATTCTGTATTTTTCAGGTAATGGGAAAAAATCAGGAGTACAATGGAGGACATATTAGCTATTTACAGCCTTCAGGAAATCCTATGATTCAGTTAGGAGGGAAGCATTATGCAAATATAAGGTTCAGCTCATCATCTACCTCTTCAATAATAAATTACCTATTGAACCATAATATCCAGTAGCTTATGAATAATATAGTATAATGTAATAGTTCATATTAATATAATATTGCAGTAGTAGGCAACTTCTCTCTTAAAAATACAATAATATTAAAAAAAGTGTAACTCATTTTTGTATATTCTAAATATTTATGAAGCTAGTTATCTAATAAAAATTATAATATGGGCAAATTAAAGAATGATTCGATTATGCAAGGATTAAAAATATCTTGCAAAATGTAGGAGGATTCATATCTACAGCAGGAACAGTTAACACCCAAAAACAACAGAATTCTATATTAAGTACTGTAATATCCTGAATGATGTCATAAAATAGGCTAAAAAGCAGTATTACAGTAGACTAATAACAAAATCTGGTAATAAAATAAAAATAACACGGTACATAATAAAAAGGGAGAGAGGAAAGATACATTTAACTAAACTGTTAACTACTTCTTTGGAAGAATGTGAGGTTAGGTTATGTACAATAGATTATATCATCACATGCACATTGGTCAAAGAAATATTTCACTTCAGGAAAGGATGGAAGATGCAGCCTACAAACTAACTAACAATAAAAATAATGCAGGTTAGAGGAATTTACTGTGATTTAGCAAAAGCTTCTGACTGTGTAAATCATTACATTTTGAAGGCATTCGAGGAATAGCTGTAAAATGGCTCATATCCTATTTAAGAGAGAGAAAACAAAAGATTTGAATAAAATCACACAAAAAACTATCAATTTTTTAATATTGGGGTACACTTTTCACTCTTGAACAGAACCTCTTATTATCTTGTAAGGTACCATATAACTTTCTATAGTGACAAATCCTGCCTACCTGCTTGTGTATCTTTATCCAGAGAGGCAGATTTATGGCCAAAAAATGGATATATAAATAGCTCCACATTTACGGAGCAAGCATAGGAAACATCATGATACTAATACGCACATTCACACTTTCATGTACCTTGTTATAATGAGAAGCACATGGCTGTACACCAACATCATGCGACAAATTACAAAGATCAGTACAACTTTAATAATTACTTCTGACATTGCAAATAAATAAATAATTACAATTTTGCAGCCAGATTGTGGGAGTGCATCACACAGGTAAATTGCAGCAAAAATGCCCTATAAATGACAGCTGAATTAATATCTTGTGTTTTTCTGGTGCTGAAGATTTTCGTCATGCAAGTGTTGGTCAAATGACTTTCACATTTCTTATAAGAACATTTAGATATAAATTTCATTCCTATCTACCATCATGTAAGCTGTGCTGTCCGATTGTGCCCTGGTATAATTCCTCCTTACCTATCTAGGCATTCATATCCCCCAATACCATCTTAATGTCATTAGAAGGGATGTTATCATAGACCTTTTCTAGCTGTTGATAAAAGCTATCTTTAATCTTTATCCTCTGTAGGAGCATAGGCATTGATAATAGACAGCTTGAAAAAATTAGTTTCGAGGCGCAGTACACACAGCCTCTCATTGACTGGGTCAAAGTTTATAATACTTATTTTCATTGCTTTATCTACTATAAATGCTGCTACAGCTTCATGTGTTCCCTATCTCTTTCCACTGCAGGAAACAGTATGTGTTTTAGAGTTCCACATTTCTGTTGCTACCCATCTTGTATCCTGTACACCTGTAACTTTAAGCTTATATTGCTGTATTCAGGTCTTCAGGGCACCTGCTTTATACAGTGTTCTTACGTTCCAAGTACCAAATTCAATATCCATGTTCCTTTGCTCGTGCCGTCTTAGGTATTCCCATCCATTCTGAGGCTTCTCAAAAGGTTTCTCAACAACTGATTTTTACAGGGTGGGTTGTCGGCCACACGCACAACCAGAACTGATGGAGTGGTTTGAGACAACTTTCGTGTGGCCCCTAAACATTGACCTGTCCGGTAAAGTTGAACCTACCAGTAGCTAAGCTACCGACGTTATAGCTCTCCCCTTCAAACAGGGCAAACAATCCCCCTGCCACATAAACGCAGTGTCTCAACGGAGAGAAAAATAGATCCCACCTTAGATTATTCTCCCATCTACATGTAGGTGTCCCAAACGGTGTCATCCCCTCAGGATTCACGATCAATACCCGGTGAACACACCGTGCCCCATCCATGTGAGCCACATGCCCTACCTATCTCATGACTTAATCACCCTGATAATACTGGGGGAGGAGTACAAATTTCTAATCTCATTATTATGCAACTTTCTCCATGCCCCATCGTCTTCTCTCCGAGGCCCAAATATCCTCCTCAAACACCTGCAATCTGTGTTCCTCCCTCAGAGTGAGAGACCATGTTTGACATCCATACAAAACAATTACATATAAAAATCACCTGACAGTGATACGGTAACAAGTTTAATTAAAAAACGCTTATATCTGAAGTTTCAGGTGGCTCTGAGCGACGTATATTTGTTCATCATTCAGTATTAACCCTAATTAGGAATCATGTGAAGGAAAAACTTTCAGACAGTAATCCAAAGATTCAGCTTATCCTTTCCTTTCAATAATGAGTAACGTGCACTTAAACCTAAGTGTGCTGTTTACTGGAGAAGACCTGATTCGATACAAACTTCCGCTAATCTAAAACGAATTACCAAAAGACAGGAATAATGACAATGCATTTTACATTTGATGGTGTCTAACAATCGATGTAGCAATTTCCCCCCTTAAATCAAGTGTGTCTTACATTGATGGAGTCTTAAAATCAAGGCAATATAATATTCCAGAAATTTAACAATGTCCAACATAGTCATATATAAAAATCAAATAATATTATAATTTCAGAGGGTCATCAATTATCCTGTTAATGGTCCTTAATGAAAATGGCAGTTCTATGCCACTGTAGTACGAGGCTCGTCCACAAAGTAAGTTTCCTTGGGGCCGTTTACAGAAACAAAACACAATTTCATGTAAATATTTATTGCAACAGATACAGCAAGTGTCCAGCTATTTTTCAACATATTCGCCACCGGAATTGAGACATTTGTCATACCGTGGGACCAACTTTTGAATACCTGTGTCGTAGAAGTCTGCCGCCTGGGATTGGAGCCACTGTGTGACAACCATCTCCGCCTCTCTGTCATTCTCAAAACGCTGACACTGACCGGACAGGAATTTCTTGAGGTGTAGGAAAAGATGGAAATCACTGGGAGCGAGATCCGGGCTGTAGGGTGAATGATTAAACACCTCCCAGCTGAACTCCTGCAGGAGACTCGCTGTCCGTCGAGCC